CACACAGTCTTTCAGATTGAATTCCAGTCTGTTCCCATATCTATATCACTTACAAAAAGTGGGCTGTTGCCCCAAAAGTAGGGGCTCAATGCAGGGTCATAAAGAATTTGAGCTTGTAAAAACTCTGGAATATGTGTAGAAAAGAAACACTGTATATACTGTATGTGTAGAAAAGCTTTGTAATTGTAAAAACATTTTGAACAAGCAGAAAAAATGTTCTTGTAAAAACATTTTTTGAATGTGTGAATAAAATTGTAGTGCCCAGAAGTCCAAAACAGACATTTTCAACAGATGTTTTATTTATTTTAAGGAAATCGGAATATTCATAAATAACAACTAACTTTGACTTCCGGGCATCAAGGAGCAGAAAGGCTTTACCCTGCCCCCTTTTAAATAGACAGAACTTGGCTGATTGCTCTGCTTTGTTTTAACCAAAGAAGGCTTCATGCAAACTGCCCTCTGAAAACACACACACACACACACACACACACACTACCCTCCTCAGATGGACAACCTGGATTCTGTCTCCAGAGACCAAAACTCCCCCTCTGCTTTGACTTGACTCACACCTGCGAATACAGACTTGGACTTCTCACTGTGACTTTAGACAATAAGTTTGGGTTAGTTAAAACAAACCCAGGAAAGTTGGTCCTCTTATCTGATTCAATTTTAGGGGTACACAAACAATAGGACCATCTCACCCCTTATCTAATCCGTCCCAAGAGAACAGGACAACATTGGAATGTCAAGAGACACAATAGAAATTGGCTTAATTGCTTCTTTCTCCCTATGACAATGGAAAAGTTTCTAGATTTGACAATGTGAAATTATGTTAACCAAAAGTTGTGTAAAGCATCTAAACAGAAAAGTTGATAAATGATTTTTGGACATGCCTAACTCAGTCACTGCAAGAAAATGACTTCTTCCTTAACAGTTCCTTATAACAATGGGAATGTTATTCTGGATGTGAAAATGCAAAGATCCATGATCCAAAGTGTGTAAGCTGTTCCATAAGGTAACAAGAAATATTTCTGCAATGTTAAGTCCTGCCTCAAATAGTGCCAAAACATTCAGTTCAGGAACTTTAGATTTTTCTATTGTTATAACTGCATGCTAATTAGCATTGTGCTTTCTTTTATTCAGAAGTTAACCTTCCTTTCTCCCCACAGAATATAACATTCTCTTGTTTAATGTTCAAACTATGTGTTGCTTAGGCTCTGTCTGAATTGTGACGCCTCCATGTTGATCATATAAAATGTGTATTTCACACATAAGCCATGGTGGAAAGTAGAAGTTATGAACTGTATAGAATTAGCTTAAGACAAGGCGCGAATGTTTCACAGTGCACTAAAAGAACCAATCAGGAACCCGCTGTCATGGCAGAGGACTTCAACTGGCAGACTCCCAACCAATCAGCACCTGAGCTGACACGACTACCCATGAGTCACTGCTTCCCTTTGTCTCAGAACTCAGAACAGAACAAAGAACAATGAAAACAGCTTTGAGGCCTCAAAAGTTTCCCGTCCATCTATTGTCAGCATGTTTCCGTGTTTTTGTCTAAAATTCTTTTATTTGAATTGTATGCTTGCATAACTACAGGAAGTTTTTTTTTTCTTATTTAGCAAGTTTATAGTGATTTTTGAATCTTTTTATTGCAACCCAGCAGTCAAGCTGATTGGAAGTTCCAGCGTGCCAAATTTGAAAACTCTTCAGCCAAAGTTTGTAGACAAAGAAAATGTTTGTAACCAAGATCGAAACTGAGTTTTATTTAAGATGAATCATTTAAGCTCTAAAGACACCATCAGAACAACCCCGTGATAATATGTTTAAATTACACATGGTCTTTCCTTGAGACATCAATCATCAAATGCCACAATAGTAGCAGGACTCTATTGTCATGGACACAGCTGCAGGCTGGAAGCCAGCCCATCATACAAGAGAGTCCAAAAACAAGGAACACCTTCTGAGCTCGATGCCTCAAATGGCGTTCTGGAGATTTGGACCTCCACAGGCCTCTACTCTGACCCAAAAAGGCTATGGAACCAAAGCTACTTTCCCAGCCGACCGTTTGAGCCCTGCCAAAAGCTAAGTGTGCCCTGGCAAACTGATGTCTCCTGAAAACCATAGACTCACTTAATTAAAATCTCTAATCTATTGAAACTGAGTTATTTTCTCTCCAAATTTATGATTAAATCCCATGCTGTTGTTAATGCTATGTGACTTTCGTACTATGTAACTGGGTATTTCTACTTTTACTCAAGTTATCAGAGTGCTGCTCCAACCACTACTGTTCTTTTCCAACATTCAACCCTATTCTCTTTTACATTCTTGAGTGCTTATCCTGACTGTATTTTATATATTATACCATCCAGGTAACGGTGACCTTTATTGACAAATAATAAGCATATTTATTTCGGAACCAGTGATACGTTTTTTCCTTACAAGGGGTGGTATCTAAGGAAAATTGTATTTTATCAGACAGAGCTGGAGGGTGTAACAGGTTCAACTGGCTCTTTGTCTTTCATTCTGTATCCAGACCTTTATAGACATGATTTAACATGTTTTCAGTTCTTAATGGTGGTTCAGCACCAATTTTGACATGATTTGTGTCTCTGCATTAGGGACAGCAACCTGTTGTTCTGTCTCTTTTATCCTATGGTGTATTTTGCAGCTGTTTAACTGTTTTACAGGTCTTTTCTGTCTAGACCTTATTATTATTATTATTGAGGAAAACCCAACAAACCCCCCTTGAGCAAGCACTTGGCAACTGTCGGGAGGGGAAACTCCCTTTAATGGAAGAAACCTCCGACAGACCCCGGCTCTTGGTGGGCGGCCTTCTGTCTCGACTGGTTGGGGTGAGTGGATAGAGGAGAGACAAAAGAAGAAAAGCAACAAGACACAACAAACAATCAAACACTGGTCGGGTTGATGTGGCCGGTGACTGCTCGTCAGAGACATAGAGCTCCAGGGCCAGGGCAACCTGCAGAAAGGTACAGGGAGAGAGAGAGGACACACTACGGGAGAGAGGAGACACAAAGTTAGTAATGTGTAATGGTGGCATAAGCATAGGGAGAGAGAGGAGAGGAGAGGAGAGCAGAGCAGGAGGGGAGGGGAAAGAAACTCAGAGCATCATGGGGCCCCCCAGCAGCCTAGGCCTATAGCAGCATAACTAAGGGAGGGCTCAGGGTCACCTGATCCAGCCCTAACTATAAGCTCCGAACTGAGACTGGGAGTTGGTTCCATAGGAGAGGAGCTTGATAGCTAAAGGCTCTGCCTCCCATTCTACTTCTGTGGACTCTAAGAACCACAAGTAAACCTGCACTCTGAGAGCGAAGTGCTCTGTTAGGATGATAAGGTTCTACGAGGTCTTTAAGATACGATGGAGCCTTGTCATTAAGGGCTTTGTATGTTAGGAGAAGGATTTTAAATTGGATTTTACAGGGAGCCAGTGGAGAGAAGCTAGCAGCCAGTCACTCAAAGCAGCCACGCCCTTAATTCATGCAAACATTTTAGTCTCAATTTTATTTTAAATGGGTGAGTTATAAAAAAAATTCACCCCCCCCATACATTTGTCACGGAAGGGTAAATTAGCTAGAGACCAAAACTGGTCATTTGTGCCAGGCTGTAAATGTTTACTTCTGCTGTAAAGTTGAACATTTTAGCATTAACTCCCTTTTGGAGCCAGCCTCAAGTGACCATTCGAGGAACTGCAGGTTTTAGCATTTCCTCATTGGCTTCATTTGTCAGCCTGGGTGGTTGCTGCTTGGGTTCAGAATTTAGGCCGGCAGCAGGCGCTGGAAGAGAGGAAGAGCCATATGCCATTGGTGCCAGAGATAGGTAAGCATAAAACTAGTACAACAGATTGAAGGTCTGACATATTGTATGTGTGTAACATGACTGTTAAATGGAGGCAAACTGGCACAGAAAGATGGACTGTTCACAAATGTTTGATTCCTGAGGCAGGCTTGAGGCCTACTAGCACTTGGAAGCTAACATGAGGTTAAGAGGAGTTTTGGCTGGTTTGTTAGTGATTATCTGCATACAGGTTCATTGCAAAAAGTAGCAGAATTTTGACTTAACTTGAATTGTTTTATGTGTAGGTAGTACTAGCATCCCAGTACTTGGGGCATTTGCCTGTGGGGTGGCAGCTGATGTTCATGATGAAGGTGACAGCTTTGTACCTGTGGCTGTAGTTGGCAGTTAGCTGTAAATTACTGATTGTTGTTTGAAGAGTTCGACAGAGTATTGAGCAGATGGCGTTGGAGGATTGTGTTAGGTGTGTAGGTGTCGTCGACCCAATGCAATGTATATTTGCCTTCACTCTTCAGAATTAGAATCTGCTTTATTGGCCACATATGTTGAACACATGAGGAATTTGACTTGATACAGTGGTTCTCAGTGTGCATGTGCAATGTGCATACATAAGGGAGCAGGAAAGAAACAAGAACAAGAGAGTGCAGTAGCTTGAATGCACAGTTGTGGCTTGTTTTCATAAGTGATGGCACAGGGGAAGAAACTGTCCAGAGGGAAGGAGTTCAAACTGTTTATGTCCAGGATGTGAGAGGTCTGCAGAAATCTTTTCTGCCCTCCTCTTGACATGTGGGGAGTACATGTCCTGAATGGAGGGCAGGTTGGCACGATTATTCTTTGTAGGGATGCACCAATACCACTTTTTATCAGACCAAGTACTTTTGAGTACTCGCTGATACTGAGTACCGATATAAGTACCTAATGATGCAGTGCTTCTACTATAAAAACTACAATTACCATAAAAGTGCAGTGACTTCAGAGAAAGTTTTTGATTTCATGAGATTTAGTTTCTGATCATGATTAAATAAAATATTCTCTGTAACAGGGGGCTGTGCAAATCACCTGAAAACCTTCTGTGACAGCCACCATTCCTATTGAATGACATGTAACTGATTGAATTTCTCTCACCGGCTACACAGCATACTGTAATACAGTGGATTTGAACTTTTTTTTAAGAGTGCGACCTTGTGTTAGGATGTATTGATTTCACAATCTCCTGACCAGAATGTCACAGTTTAGGAACACATTATCATAGTCGGGAAATGTTGAATTTAACAAGACTGCATGGTCTTAGTTTAGCTGGCTGTTGTCTGTGGCTTCATCCTGCACTCTCTGCTGGACACACACCTGCTGTGCTGCAGTGGAGCTGCTGGTCTCAGCCCCCAAGTCCATGAGTATTCAACCCATTTTCATACATAGAGCTCATTTGATGTCGCCATTAACTCCACAAATTTAGCATTTGTTTTCTTTCTGTTCACTACAATCAGCATAATGAGCACCATGAGTTTAGTGGCTGAATGGGACCAGACATTCTGACCATGGGGAGAGTGAAGACATACTTTTGCAAGTTTGTTGTTGTGTTCTGTTTCTTCAACACTTTAGAAAGTGTTTTGATTCATTACTTTCTCTATTATTGTTGGTGGTGTTGCACATATCGAGTGTTGAAGTATGTGTGAGCACCCCTCCCTCCACATCTCTCTCACACACACAAAACAGAGAAGCTGAGCTTGCAGTCGGCTTTTGTTGTATTCACTTATTTTAAAATATCCCCGAGCTACTGAAATACCCTCTCTGCCATCTAAGAACTGGCTCAGCCAGTGTGAGGTCAGCCTAATGTTGCTGTTAATTGGTATCGGTGTGTAGTATTAGATGACTTTTATGAGTACAGTACTAGAGGGTGGTACTGGCATTGTCATTATTGCATCCTAAACTTCAGTCCGGGCTGTCTGTTGGAGTCTGCAACCAACCAGGACAAGAACAAATTAGACAGTGATGGAAGTGCAGAGAACTGACTTGATGATTCCTCTGTAGAATAGTATCAGCAACTCCTGGGGAAGGTTGAACTTCCTTAACTGGTGCAGGAAGTACATCCTCTGCTGTGCCTTCTTGGTGATGGTGCTGATGTTGGACGTCCACTTCAGGTCCTTGGATATTGTGGAGCCCAGAAACTTGGTCTCCACTGCTAATACAGGCTCTGTCTTACACAGAGGTGGCAGAAGAACTCAAGTGCACTGTTAGTGTTTGTACACTTTCATGTCTTTTGTGACACATTCTTAGATGCAATAATATCTTGTCCTACTCCGGTAATATATCTTGTTCTACCATCAAGGTGGCAGTGGCCAGAGGAACCTGTCTCTGGTGGTACAGGGAACATACAGCAACACAGCAAAGATACTGAAGCTGATCAACAAGAATGGGAAACACACTTGACATTGTCCCTCTTCAAAGACAAACTGACACTACACCCCTTCTTCATTAAGGCTGTAGACAGGTAAGTTAGCCAGAACAATGGAAACCATTGTACAATTTAATGCATAGATTTGTAAAAGTTAAAATATGCAGGCATTTTAGGATGCAGTTTATGGTATTGTTTTATTCCATTGTTTTGTGTGTGTGTGGATGAAGGAAGTCTTTATCTTTATGAATAAAAGTAGCGGTGCAGTAGAAGGTAGAGAAACGTAGGTGATGGTAATCTTACATGGAGAGGTGTATTCACTAACTTGTAGAGCTTTCAATTACCATTACAGGGTTTCTCATTCATGTTTGCTTCAAATGAAATTTTGAATCTAGATTTTGCAATACGATCAACACCTATAGAGATCCTAAAACATTTCTGTATCATATTGTGGAAGTAGAATTACACTGGGACTGCACTAGTACTAAATAATATTTGATCATTACTTATGTTCATTTTCTATATTTTGGCAATATGCACAACCATGTTTTGTCTAGATGTTCTTGTTTTCCCCTCAGCCTCGATGCCCTTTTTGTGGCAACCACCATTCAAGAGATGTTGTTTCATGTCATTGTAAAATTGAAAAACAAAATGCATTCAACACAGGTCATACACTGTAAACTAGACCTTACACAATCTATTTTTTATTGAATAGAGTGCACATGAAGATCTGCCGAGTACGTCATCAAGTCCAGAATTTGGAGCCACACAAACCAGTGAAGAAGATAATCCAAAACCTCACTACAGATGGATGATGAAGTAGAGCTTGACATCCGGACAACAATTCAGATGGTGATACTAAACTATTCAGAATGTTGTTACAGTTGAGTCCAAATGTTTGCATCCCCTTACTTTGAAATGGCAGAAAGAGTAAAATGATTTTTTTTCCCCCTCAACATATTTAATGCACATTTAGCTAGCGCAACTGTACCTTCATCAACAGAAGTAACTAAAGTGGTCAGGAAATTTATAAAAAGAAATTTCGAGTAAAAGAATGAAAATCATATCAGTGCAAAGGTTTGCAGCCCCCTTTATGAAATGTTCTCTAATACTTTGCATGTCCGCTATATACAGCCCTCTTCAAAGCGATCCACGAGTTTTCAGTGATATTTAAATCTGGAGACTGGGAAGGCCATGGTAAAACGTTCAACTTTTTTTAAACCATTCCTGAGTTTGTTGGATAGTTGTCTTGAAGGCTCCAGTGCCTTTTAATTTTTAGCTTTTTGACTGATGGTAGAAGGTTTTGCTTTAAAATCTTCTGATATTGGGCTGCTTTCATTCTTCCTTCCACTTTGTGCAGAGCTCCAGCGTCTGATGAAAGCATATACACATTGATTCACTCGTTTTGCCATTTCAAACTAAGGAGATGCAAACCTTTGGATTTTATATGTAAATATGTTTGAAAAGATGAATTTTGTGTCACACGCAGCATGGAAGGAAGACCAGGACTCAAAAAATGTGTATTTCAGGCAGTTTACTGTGACGAGCTTGAGTGAGATTAACAGCAATTTATGAAACAGACATTCTCATACTGTTGCTAGCTCCCTGCTTCTCCTCGTCTCCCTGCTCCTCCTTCCTATGCCTTATAGTGACTGGAGAAATTAACATCCATTCTAGTTACCTTTCACTGTGATTCTGACATCATATAGCTCCTTAGAGAGGCTACAATGCAGACATTGTGGCTACATGGATCATTACATAATTTGGTCATGAAACAGGCATACACTGTGGTATGAAGGTCTCAGCTGTCCTTGGTATATGACCACCAGTTATGTGGAATACACAGAGAATGAAAGTTCCAAGCTAACGGTGTCGTATTAATCATTCTTATTGTTGTGAAATGTAATGTTCTGTCATTAGTATTGCTTAAATCTGGGATCTTTTACATAAGTGGTGCTTTACAGCTGCAGAGTAATTTACAGTACTGTTAAAACAATGAAAAATTGCATGGTCTTTCATAAAGGTTAGGGTAAACAATGTTAAAATTAACAGTTTTGCTCCTTAGGTTTGATGGCGATGTGCCCATGTGACGAGCAGAGGGACGAAATCAGTCTTGTCTGTTCTTGTGACTTGTCACCAGTAAATCACTTTACATTACTTCAACATGCGGTGAGCTGAAATCCTAATATTTAAATTCAAACCTTTACTTCACCCCGTACTGGGAAAAGACGCTGAAAGTGAGATGTGAGCGAGACATGGGCATTACTGAAGCGTGATTCCATTCAATCCAGCGAAAAAATAGACATGAAGCGTAAAAAAAGTGAAGGTTCTACGGGAGATGCGTTTCTCAGATTCGGTGTGGATTGAAACATTTGACAAAAGTGAATAATATCAGAAAGAGGTTACCTCTAAACCACATAGAAGACTGAAAGGGAGACATGAATGGTGAGTTACAGTATGTGTATTTAATATCAGAACATCGGTCTGTCTGTCAGCAGGACAGCAACTGGAGAAAGAGTCTTTACCAACACCACAAGTAAACTGTGCAAAAACAGTTATGTAGCCTATGGATTTAGTGGTGTTTCCCGGCTCCTTACAGAGGGTGAAATCTTAATATACCAGTAGAAACAGAAAACAGGATTTGTGTAAGTTAAACTGAATGGGGAGATTATGCTTTACTAAATACAGCAGAGCGGGGAAAAAATAAACATGAAGTGTAAAAAAAGCGAAGGTTCTACGGGAGATGTGTTTCTCAGATTCGGTGTGGATTGAAACATTTGACAACAGTGAATAATATCAGAAAGAGGTTACCTCTAAACCACATAGAAGCCAAGACGCACATCTCCCGTAAAACCCTTTTATCATTTATTCTTTATGCTTCATGCCTCTTTTTTCCCCTCTGCTGTGTTTAGTGAAGCATAGTCTTCATAGTCAGCTGTTTAAATCAATCCTCTTGTTTTCTGTAATGACTGAACTGCTGCTTGAACTTAACAGGCCGGGGCAAATCAATAAAATCAGTAAATCCATAGGCTACATGGAAGTGCAATTTCTTCCTGATGATCTTACATGTTTTTAGGCAAGTACACTTGTTGTTTGGCCTGGTAAAGACCCTTTCTCCGACTGCGGCCCTGCTCTGATGACTTTAAAGGCACAGAATGCGCTGCTCACATCTCACTTTCAGTTTGGAATGAATGGAATCACGCTTCAGTAGTGCTTGTGTCCTGCGCACATCTCACTTTGTGTGTTTTCCCAGTTAGGCAATCCTCACCCAGACTGTCTAGTTACAGAATTATGAGGACATCCATGGAGACAGGCAAGTTTGTAGAAAATGGACTGTTTATTAATGAAATTATGAATACAAAATTACTACAGAATAATTACACATTTCTTTTTGCAGCCACTTGATCCCAGATGGGAAAGTCCCTACCAGCATGAGCAAGGTACCTCCTACCTCATTTAGTATCGCATGTGCCTGGACACTTGCACAGTTATTAAGACCTATCCAGTCATGTAAGTTCTCATGCAGTTGCATGACTGGAGAAGGCTTTATAACTGTGCAAGTGTCCAGGCACATGCAATGCAACACGAGAGGTAGTCTGCCTTGATAAATTAGGTTCTTATTTAGACCCAGTTTGGCAAACAAATCAAGAATTTTTGAGAGCATAGTCTTTGTTTACCAGTGGTTGCTGGACACTACACCCGTGCAATAAGCAATAGCATCTGGCTCCGTAGAGAACAAACTGGCTGCACAACAAATTGCCCCTCAAGGACTAAGTATGGGGGCGTGTGTGTGTGTATATTACTGTAATAAAATCATTACAACTCTAAAACTGTCTGGGTCTGATGTGTAATTTGTTTAACATTATGATGCAAGGGGGTTGCTCTTCCAGTTTCTTCACTGTCCACATCTGGAAACTGGTCTCCCTGAAATCGAACAATATTCACCAATAAGTGAGGAGAGTGGTATTAAGCCATGGGTACAAACACGTTTGTAATTAAAGAATTTCACCCTAGCATGTTACAGCAGCATGACTTTCTTACCTCATTGTTCTCAGGAGAGTTGTCAGAACGTCCCAATTTCCCACGGTCGGTTTGAGGCGGAACTGCATTCTGTTCAGAGTGAAGGGTTGTTCCATCCCGCAGCAAATATGCAGCTGTGGAGGACATTGCACCAGGAGTTTGACACATTCCAGACACCACGCCACAGGTCCTCTATCCTGAACACTACAGTTACTTGGTTTTGTAAACCTCTGGTCCATATCACACGTGGTGTTAAGGTGCAAACACACAGTAAAAGTTGAGGACATTCCAATTAAACAAGTAAACCAATTATAAAATCAGGTAGAATTGCTCACCTTAAAACATCCTTTGGTTGGGGACACCTTTCCCTGAGATGACGTGTCCCCTACCACAGCCTTGAATGTCCACATTCTTAACTGCCTGTTCCCCTGACTCTTGAATATGCATAACAAAAAGGCAACATATTAGGATGGCTGTTGTCTCAGTATCGTACAGATATTCCTGCACGTTCAAGCCTGACTGTAGTAAAGTTAAGTGGATTTTGAAAATGCCCTTAAAATAACTGAAACCCCACAGGCAGTCTGAAATGCAGGCATAACTACTGTTATAACCTGTTGTTTCAAAATAGGGCATGAGTCAACAGCACTAGTGTAGTCGTCACCAAAGTTGCTAAATCAAACCTTTTACTTATTCCATTATTTAAGTGTTACTATCAGAAGCAAAACAAGACTGTTCATAGTACCTGGATGTAAAGTTGTGTTTCTTTGCAGCTTCGAGGAGGAACTCCGGGGCTGTAGATGTCTTATTATTGGCCGTTTGAAGGAACAGGATCTGTGACAACAAATTTAGAGTTAACTCAACAGGCTGCTCAAATCTCTTGCAAGTTGACTTCTGTTCTTCTTAATTAAGACCTTTAAATGAATGAAATTTAAATGACTGTTAGTTCTCGGTTGCACAAACACTTTGGAAAATCTGTCAATTCCTCCAAGCATAACCACGTCACATCTGTACAGTAAAAATGATTAGACACACAGAGCAGTGTTTACTTTATCTCAAGTTTATCCACAGTGAATTAAAGGTAAATTTGCCAACTGTAATATCAAATTACTTAGTGTTTCACTTTCACTTGAGAGCAATGAAGGTCAATCATTATGGAGTTTGAAGATGTTAGCCATAAACATTACAGATGCAGCACACAGATGCTTAATAAAGCAATACAGACTTTGACCTTATAACAATAACAAACCTTCATTATCATACAGGAAGTGAAAGTACACACTACAGTTCATTCTGACCCTGTCTTTAGATGTGGTGGATACAAATGCAGAGTGAAACCAGTTATAAATATGCTAATATGCATACCCTACGGCTGCCATCTTAAAACACTATATGACTTCCAACTAGGTCAGTGGAAGAAACGGGACAGACTGGAGCAAAGAATGAAATTTTCTATGCAATTGTTTATAAAAACTTGAGAAATTTCATTACAATTTATACCAAAGTTGATCAAACACTGACACTTTTGAAATGAACTTGTCAGTGGTACAAGAGTACTGCCTCTCACTTGAACCACAACAGCCTTAGAATTTTTTTCTCACCTGATCAACTTGTCAGTGCATAGTAGTGATAGGGGCGCAGCCCAGTGTGGATCCTTCTCACAACACACCCAAGACTACACAGTGCAAGGAATTCCCTTCTGTCGTCCACTGTTTTCTGTGGCCTGATACCTTCAGGCGTCCCTTCACCATTCTGTGGCCTATACATTGAGGACAAAAAAAAGAATTAGTCATATAATGCCATATTTATAACAATTCACAATCCTGAGCACAGAAATACAAACCTGCACAAACTAACATTTTATTAAATCATGAATGCAGGAAAATTAAATACCCCTTGAACAAGGCTGAAGGGCTATTGTGTTCTTTATTCCGTCTTCTCACTATATGATGTTCTTTGAGGCTAAACTGGGGGTGGTGTTAATGACAATTTCTTCAATTCATGTTTCTATTCTTAGCACATCTGAGCCCATTCACAGAACTGGAGTACCAGGTGCAAACACCAGATTTTATTCACACCTTCAAAAACATTTTGCATACAAATCTTTTCTACACCTGCTCTAAATGTTTTTACAAGCTAAAAATCTTTGTAACCCCATACTGACCCCATATAAAAGCTCCAAACAACCATAACTTTTTACAGCATCTGAAGTGACAAGACTTAACTGCACATATGCAAGATCTTCATGGAAGGAACTAGATAACTGTTAAACAAGGCTGAGAACCTTCATGGTAATGTGATGTTTCAGAGTCTAAACTGACAAGAACAGGGCAACAGCTGCTCGAGTTGTACACTGATAATGTAGCTCTGCGACAACAATAAAGATGCATTCTGAAGCTTGATTTAGTAACCTGAGGCAGAAAGCTATAATTTGGGCATTACTAATGAACCTGGGTAGAGCTGAACAAGGTTGTAAAAGTGTGATAGGGTAAGGCACTGTTACTGCTGTAGGGGAGGAGGATCTGTGTGAAGAAAGAGGAGCGGGAGTCAGGCCACAGCACTTGACATTTATTGGCCTTTGGCAGCGTTATCAGACACTCTGCAGGAGAGACCGCTGAAGAAATCCTTACATACACATTTAAAAAAAAATTTTTTTTTTTCTAAACTTGGGTTGAACACAGAACATGTCTGCATTACATTTTTACATGAAGAAGGTGATCAAACAGAAAACATACTGTACGTCTCCAAAAAAATTTTAAAAAATCTCACTTTTTTCTGCATGTGCACAAAGCAACACAATCTTTCCCTCCTTACAGCACTGTCATGTTGCATTATATAGCTTTAGGGGTTTCTTGTTCATTGGTCTTGCTTTTCTATCGGCATGGGGTGAGATTTGAGCCATTTCCATGTCCCTCAGTACTCACTCAGTAAATACCACGGCCCTTTCTGTGGTCTGAATCCTTCTTAATACCCTGCAATCCTTAACAGCACTGAACAGAAAAGCATCGGCCAAAGACTGACCCTCTGTTTAGAAGAGACGATGCTTCATGGGGTACCACAGCAGCTACAGATTATATTGGTCATTTTTACAAAGAATTAAGAGACAGCAAGCAGCCTGGTCTTTTAAGTGCAGAGAGTCTGTCTTTTACATTTTCTCAGCAGAGGTAATGCAAATGACATGCAGGATCTAAAATTTACATCTGGGAAGCAAAAACCAATTGTTAAAAGTTGTGCTGAATAAATTATTGTATTATAGATATATTAACAGTTTCACTCAAAGATGTGAGTATTCTGACCATAACTCAATACAATTAATGCAAAACAAGTCTTGTTGGTACAGCTGATTGTCTGCCTGTTACATAGCTCTGCACAAAGCATCATCCTGCTATATAAAAAAACACAAACCTCGCCCTAATGATGCCCTCTGCTTTTAAGTGCATTCTGAGTAAAAATGAAAACTTGATGCACTGATAATTAGATTTTAGAATAATCTCCATAGAAACAAATGTTAAATGGCATTACTGCCAGTCACTAACATTTTTGCTTAGATTCTGCCAGTGTAGATGCAACTATAAATCTAAGGCTCATCTTTTACATTTTTGCATCAAGAAAAACTGTGATGTTTTTAAAAGGAAGAGAGGATTGTTGATTGATCAGTGACAGGACCAGCGCCACTGTCAGGCAACAGGTCACAAATAATACTTATTAACAACCTGTGTGTTTTATTGGCACGAAGTCCTGGAAATTAATTTTGTTGAATTGAACCAATCAAAAATTTGTATAAATGTCTTGTAAACATACAAGACAATTACAATACAAGGGCAATTTATCTAAGCCAGCATATATCTTAAAGAGTAAATGCCAGTCACTGTTGTTCATGATAAAGTCTAACGGAAAGGTATTCTCTAATATAAAGGGGTTAAATGTGCATGTAGCAGAACCCTGCCATGTTCACTCCATGTTAACCTGCCTCAGGATTCATTCAACATGAACAGAAAACAACACATGGCTCATACATTTAAAAACCTGAGGACATTAAATGGAGTAAAACTTTTATAGGAGGTCCAAATTAAAATCAAGTGTCAAAAACAAACAAACAAATACTTTACATCCACACAACACCACACAAAATCAATAACAGACTAGACAATATCCCTACCATAATTTGCCTCTCTGTTGCCTAGAGGTCGTGTCTTGGTTCTGAGGTATTACTGAACAATCTTAGCCCTCTTTCTGTGCAGTTCAAGTTAATACTTTCAGTATTTCCAAAAGCACTTGCAGTGCGCAGTTGTTATCTTAGACAGCCAGGCCTTTCTGGTAAGCTTCAAAATAAACCCCCGTCTGTTGAGTCAGTGAACACATCATCTGTCAACACATTCAACCTGCTCTAAAAACATACAATTTGTTCAGTAATTTGTTCTTCCTTTCATATCCTTCAATTAAATACACGACTTTTAAAATATCCAAGTAATGATCATCTTGAACAAACAATGTCCACAATTCCCCCGTCTTTTTCAATCAGATTATAGGACGCCGAGTGTGGCTATATACTGTACTTCTGCCATTTAAAAGCAAGCAGTCACAGTCTGGAGTAACCATGCAACAATCTTAGAAACACAATAGCACATTAACATTACAAACAACCCAGTTAAAGGGTTGGGTTGAGCCACGAATTGATTTAGAGATAATTACAGGTAAAAAAAAAAAAAGATCACATTGAGTTCTGCTGGTCTGGCATGAGTACAAGTAACATGATTTATTTGTTTGCAGAATAGAGGATGAATCCTTTGTGTTATTTCTGATTACATTTATATGAATATGCTTCTATATTATAGAGCCTGTCACCAGGTCTGATATTTAAACTATCAATGAAATCATGCTGGAGCATTATCCATGTATAAAATTGCACACAACCTGTCTGTCAAGCCAGACACTGTAGATGAGATCAGTGTCATTTCTACTGCTGTGTTTAATCAACTGCACAGAAAAGAACCAACATCAATCTGGAGTAGATAAAAAGTGCAGCAAATGGAAAGAGGCTGCACATGACGTAATAGAAAAGCAATTTCAGTCTACAATAAGCACTAAAAGTACACAGTGCCACCTAATCAGCATAAACCCAGGCTCACTGTACCACACCGACATGCACTCTGGAGCTGTGCTCGCAGCTGTTGTTTGTAGTGGCTGACTGACATGTGTAAACCAACATGGAACAGGAGGAGTTCAGTGAACATTTCTGCATTTGGCAGCTTTCTTTTAGCTTTTGGGGGCATTTGGAGCTTTGGAAATTAAAGTTTATGCTCTTGAAAACAGTGAAATAATTGTCTCCAACCTCAAGATCTGCACTGCATTTCCAAGGCACAAGAGCCCAAATGTCAATGGCCATCTCCTCTTCTCAAATTGTTCCAATGCTGTGGCAGTTTCAACACAGTCAGATATTCTGATGACTTTCAAATCAGGGGCATATCATTCAATCACAGTCTCGGGTGACCGACACACAACTATCTCAAATTCAAATACACATTAAACCCTTATTAAACACAGTAAAATGGCTGACAAGAAAACACCAACTTTAATATTACAAGGACAAATTAAAAGCTCACTAACAAATTTAGGAAAAGAAAAATATCAATATAAGAGGGTGTTGAGAGAGAGGGTTAAAGTACAATATGAGCTATAGGCGAACATGATGGTGCGGTGTTATTTTCAAAGCAGCATCGCATTGGCCACAGTGTTGTACTGGAGGTACACAGTACCTGTGAAAAGCTGTGTGTAGGTCGAGAGCCACCTACAGACATTATATAGTAACACATACCATGCTGCGGCACAAATGTGCTGCAATCGTGGCAAATGTGGCCCATTAATTTAATTTGTTGCTCATCTGTATGCATAGATGAGGAGCAACACTACTGGAGATTTCTTCATAAAGTCCAGCAGCTTTCTAATTTATACAAGACATCACATAATACTTCTTGCTTATATCTACAGAAAATAATGTCTCAGTGCGCAGTCTGATATTGTTGCGAACTGTACAAAGCATGAGCTTCTTGATGTGAGGCTGAAGCCCGTTTAAAAATCTTTCCAATCACTGCCTGCTGTCTACATAAATGACAAAGGTGCCACTACACAAGGATCAAGAAATCCGCTTTAAAAGAAAAGTCAATTCCCAGACGTCGTCATGTACACAACACCTATCTAAAGCCGTTTTGCCTAATAAATAGCAACTAGGGCTTTTGTCTGATATGCAATAAAAGACAAATACCTGAAAAACTACAATCAAATCATGGGGGCTCACTAATAACAGATGTTTGAAAAGCAAGAGCATATACTGTATAAAAAGGCTAATCCAGAACGTCAAGCAACATCTCTACTACTTAGAGGAACAATGCTTTTATTTTAAACATACATCTTATAATGTATGCAGTCAAAAGTAAATACTTATGTAAATCACTAACGATGTAAAAGAGAAAGAGCAGAAATAGAGAAGTTAAAAAAAGAAGTTACAGTTTCACAATTTATGACCACCATGACCCTTGCAGATGGTTAAAAAAAACAAACAAAAAAAAATAACAAGAGTGGGAAACGAAGCAGGAAAAACCCATCTTGTGAAAAACTAAGCACAGCCTGTACACCGACAAGTCATCGCTTGGCCAGCCTGGGGGTGAGAGCAGGAAACAAATCTACCCCATTTGTGGGAAATCTGGAAAATATCCATATTCATAAAGGGGGGTGGGGGGTGGGGTGCCTGACTATGTGTGA